CCAAAGATTACAACCCTTATAAGACACAAAGAGAAATGGTCGCAAGAAATTGAACCTTGCCTGACAAGGTTATAATCTTACCCGAATCTCTTTTGTTTGTGCTTACATAAAGTAGATATATTGTTTAATGCATCTTTCTTTGTGTTTTAAACCACTTTCAGCTGCTTTTCAAAGTTCATTTGTGATTAATCTAGCTAAACTAATTAACCTTGCTTCTTTAGTGTTAACTGTAATCAAAGAAATAGTTGGAAAGGCCCTGAACTCCCTTTATTTGGACATATAATAGTATGAGTAAAAGTCCTTATTTACAAGGCAAGAAAATAACCTTATACATACTTAACTCATCTATAACAATCCAGTAAGATCAAGAAGTCCAAGTAACTTGTGGCGCATGTAATCAACGTAGTAAATAACCAAAAAAGAACAATTTGTTATACAAAGATAACAGCGGCACGCTCAAATCCATATTAGTTTTGATTGTGAGCTTCAAGGCCTAGCAAAGGCCCCACAAAGGCATTCAAACTAATAGCAAACTCATATTGCAGCACACCAAGCAGCAAACCTTGCCTGACAGGCAAGACCCCGGGGAGCTGTACGAGGGACAGATCTAGCCTGAACATAGTTTTGGCACGCTCGGTGGGATCCATTTTGTGATATTGTATGCCAAGACGAATTGAAGATCAAACGTTTAGGTGGAAGGTCAAATTTGGGCAACCTCTTTGTCCAATAGAAGTAGGCATGACAGATCACCCAGAGGATTTTCATTCACTACACGGCCCTACAATCTTAGAGAGCTCGACCTCTTTTAAGAAGTCGGTTGAAAAAGTCACTAATGAAGATTTGCAAGCCACCATGGTGCAAGTACTGAGAAGTATGGAGAATATCTCTCTAGAGACCAAAGGAGAGGTTATCAAGCTATGTTCCTTAACAAGAACTCTATAGAGAAAGTTGAAGTTAGAGTACTCTACACCAAAGGATGGTTACACCAGGGAAAGAATCATCGAGCCAAGCCTAAAAAATGAACCAATAATTCCTTTGTTCCCCTTACTTGAAGAAAAGACGAACAAGGGGAAAAGGAAGGAAGAGGCTAAAACTAGTCGGTGAGAAAATGAAGAGTTTCAAGAAACAGGCTTGCCCGATTGTCCACCACCACCAGATGTTAGAAGGCAGGTTAAGTAAGAAGGGATAAAGATTGGTGCGTCTAACTCAGTGGGAGAAACAAGCGGAAATGGCTTATCCATAACTGGGGGAAGTTTCTTCCTTACAGGCCACCATCATTAGCTAATAAGGGAGGATGATAAGTTAGATGAAGACAGCCAGACCCATAAAGGGAAGTTTTCTCGAGCGTCGATCACATCCCGAAGTGAGGGATTCCCTATCCCTCATACAATAATATGGCTAACCAATTCAGGAATGAATTGGCAGAATTGAGAAGGATGGTAGTATAGAATGCAACCGTATGCCCGCCCAATGTTTAAGATAACATATTAGAAGCCTTATCCTGAGTACATTGATGAGCATAATCATTTCCCTTTCAATTTCAAGATGTTTGTGTTCCCAACTTTTAATGGAGAAGACTGTAATGTGTCTTTCAGATATCACATCTTCAAATTTTCAAATCACTGTTTGGCGTTCGAGGACAACCCTAACTAAAAACTGGGATTTTTTGGAAGTTCACTGGTAGGCTTGGCTTCCCAATGGTACTCTCTGTTACCCCTCCCCCCCCCCCCCAAAATTCCATTGCCAACTTGGGGGTAGATGGATATGGCCTTTCATGAGTTGTTTTATAGGATGGAACATGAAATGACCATTAATGATCTGGTGAAAGTGAAGTAATATGAAAATGAGTCTACGGAGTATTTTATGATGAGTTTCAAGAAGACCAGGATGAGATGCCAGTTCCCAATCAACCATGCTCAACTCATAGCCATCACCCATAAGGCTCTGAGACTACCCCTAAGGAAGAAGTTCTATGATGTACAGTTTAACGAGCTTCAAGAGCTGGTGATTACGGCCACGAAGTATGAAAAGTTAGTAAAAGAACACAAGTGAAGCACTCATCCAAAGTGCCCCCATTTTATAAAAGCAAAACACCAATACATTAACTGGAGTTTGAAGGCCTAGAGGCGAGAGAAAATTATAATAGCCTAGGGGAAGGGATAAAGTTATGTGCTGCAGAAATAACCACTTCTTTCAAGCTTTTGATGGTGAAGGGATTAGTTCAACCCATCAAAGACCAGAAGATCGTACCTATGAAGCCTCTAAAGTATTAGTCATATGCCTTTGACATAACCAAAGCCGTAGACATTTAAGAGGAACTGGTGAGGGCTCGAATAATCTTGCTCGACAACACCAAAAAGATGCCTAAACTTGAAGAACTTAGAGGGAATAAGTATTGCAAGCTCCACTATACCTTCAACCACTTCATTGCCAATTGTGTGCAATTCAGAGATTAGATCCAAGACCTTATAGTCAAAGGAAAATTATTACTGGCGAAACCCCAGGCCAACATGATGGTTGGCATAGATCCATTCCCAGAAGCCCCAATCAACATGATAAATCTTAATTGGGTTGAAATGGGGAAATGAAAAGTTACCTTGGATGAAAGAGGAGAAAGAAAGCAAGCATGTAGGCTTACAAAAGGTGTCAGGAGGTTGCCCGATAAGGCCCAAGCAATTGTTATCAAATGAGTAGTTTTGTATAGCAAATGCTAATGTGAGTGTGAGCTTGAGGTACCATCATCAAGTGCCATCATTAATCGAGAATTTTCAGAATTAGAGAGATAGAGGAACATAACACCCGCATGAGTATTCTTCAGACTACAGTGACAATCAAGGAGATTACTAAGAATGTGTTCCAGAGGTTGGGAGGAGATTCAAAGCTTAAGGGTTTGTCTGAAGTGTTTAGAAATTTTGAAGCTTATGAAGAAGTAGAAGATAAAGAGGCGAGGTTGCCACGCTGGGTGGATGTTAAGGCTTCCCAACCAACCAACTATGGTAGCATGAGACAAGAAAGGCTTGAAAGAACCATGAGCTCGTTACCACCAGTTACAAAGGTGAATTCAGCCTAACTAGGCTGAAATTGGTACGTAGTGGGCAAAGACGGAAATGCCTGTTCGAGAAATGGGGGCATCCATGATAAAAAGGGTTCAGAGGCAACACAAAGCTTATATAAACTCACTAAGAATGCTTATTGTTTCAGAAGCTTCTGAAAATGTTAAGTTTGAAATGTTTACCCAGGGAAGAGATAGACGACTCAGTTAAAGAAGCAAGAAAAAAAAATAGAGAGGGCTAATAGCAAGGCTAGGCTAAAGGCGTAGGGGATCGTGTTCCTCAAAACCCTCATCTAGGGAGGTACAAAATATTAAGAAGAGCCCAAGAGATCATGGTGATGGTACCTGCACCAGGTTAGAATCCATAGTCTATTTGTTTTGAAACTATTTCTCCTGAAAGAGGGATACCTCCACTACCACAAGAGGATATTCCATTTGGAACTTTAAGGCAGCTGCATGATTTTAACGCCATAGGAGAGGATGAAGTGCCCGAGTTGATGTTAACCAAAGATACTCAAGCATGGATGGATCAGTTTCTGTGCTAGATTGGGGAGAAAAAGGAATGAACACTTGGACCTAGCAACTTTCATGTGAACATGACCTATGTACTGCCAGCCATGTTCTGTGCAGAACCAAATCAACCAGAAGTAATGAAGGATGATTATGTAGCACAAGAGCCAACGATGGCATTTGTAAACATTGAATAAGTTAGTAAGGAAGAATCAAGCTTGGCAAACTCACTTGATCCCATGTAAAGAGAACCCCAAGAAGGTTTATTCTGACAAGATGGTGTTCAAAAAGCCAAATCTAGCCTTAACAAACCATCTAAAGCCCATATATGTGACAACTCATCAGGAATGAGTTCCTTTCAAAAGGGTGTTGATAGATGGGGGAGGCAGCAGTTAATGTGCTACCACTTAAACAGATAAAGAGACTTTGCAGAGGTGAAGAAAACCTTATACCTACTGATCTCACATTGTCTAGTTTTTATGAAGTTATCACCAACCAAAACTCATGGGATACTGCCCTTAGAGGTAGACTAGGGATCTAAGAAAATTATATTGGCATTCTTTATGGTAGATAGTAGCTCTATCTATGAGGCGACGCTAGGAGGGGATTGGATACACCAGAGTCTATCTGCACCATCTACCTTGCACAAACAAGTTGTTGTATATCATGAACCTACCATTGCACCACAAGGATTTTGGGAGATAGTGGAGGCCAAGTCACAACCATTTCTCCCCATAGCTAATGTTGCTGATGACAATTTCTACAATCCCAATGTTGGGATCCTACAATGTCTAAGTGCTGATCAGAATGGCCGCCCTACCAAGGTGACGGCCCAAAAGCTCTTAGAATAAAGACTTTGTCTCACCCAGGAAGAATAGGACATGCCTCATATTGTCCATGTCTGCCAACTCCAATGATGATAGACCAGAAGAGAAAGGACCAAGTAATAGCAGTCAGGTCCTTAATCAAGAGGTTGTTGGACTATGTGAGAGAATAAAGAGAGATCAAGGAGAGCTCACATCTACCCTGCCCGCCAACACCAATGAGCTCATATTAATTGCTTTAAATTTCAGCATAGTGTAGATGTGGTTGATGTTAATGCAAACTTGCTGCTGGGTGCATGACTCTAATATAGGATAATCGGCGTTTATTTTATCCGTTTGCAAGTTGCTACGAACCAATAATTATGACAATTAAAAACGGAGCTAAAATCAACATGCATAAATAAAGAAAGCAACATATTTTTGGATTTTTCATTTTTTTTTTTTTTTGTGTTTTTGAAAACTTAGGTATATATATGCATATAGAAATTTAAACTAATAGTAAAATGAAAAATCAAACGAAAAGTAAAATAAGGAATGAGTTTAGAAGAATTAGGTTACCTCCCAATAAGCGCTTTATTTTAAGTCTGTAGCTAGACGTCGCAGAAGTCCAGTGGCTAGATCACTGGTTCCTTCAGAGTTAGAGACTCGCTTGCACCAAATTTCCCTATGCATGGTTTTAGTTGATGTTTGGTAACCTTCAATGAGAAATCTGTGCCTTTAACCTTGATGTCCACATTATCATTCTGAAAAACTTTAGTAACTAGAAAAGGATATTTCCATCGAGACTCTTGTTTCCCTGGAGATGATTTGAAATAGGAACTTAACAACCACACTTTTTTACCAGGCTGTATTTTCTTAACATTTGGGCTGCTTGGCAAATTTTCATGTTTTTTCATAATGTTAATCGGCTGGTCATCATGTAGCACCCTTTGTTGCTGTGGTTTAGAACTTATGCAATCATGAGTCAAATTCAGGGGCTTTATGGACAGATGGTCAGTTGATGATCTGGTCATAAACTCGGCACTCGGTAAACCATCTAATGCCTCAACACGCATGCATTCTTGTTTATCACCTGAATGTATGCTTGCTTCAAACAACCTAAAAACAATTGTTTGATCTTCGACCCGAAATGTTAGTGTTCCGACTTCAACATCAATAAGAGTCCGAGCTGCTGCTAGGAATAGGCGGCCTAAAATGATGGGTGTTGTCAAATCCTCATCCATGTCCAACACCATAAAATCAGCTGGTAAATACAAATTGTCAACCTTCATAATAACATCTTCAATGATCCCTCTTGGATAGGTAATTGAATGGTCAGCCAATTGAATAATGTTGGAGGTTGGTTTTAGCTCTCTTTCACCTAAACGTTTAAAAACAGAATAAGGCATTAAGTTTACACTAGCACCTAAATCAATTAAAGCACTTTTAAAATCAGAATTGCCAATAGTACAAGAGATAGTAAAACTCCCTGGATCTTTTTTGTTTTGGGGGAAACTTGTGTAATAGAACTAAGCTACATTGTTCTGTAAGAATCACATTTTCAAAATCAACGAGCTTCTTTTTCTTTGTGCAAACATCCTTAAAAAACTTTCCATAAGATGGAATGTTCTTAATTGCATCAATTAACGGTAAATTAATTTGAACTTTAGCTAAAGTCTTCATAAAATCTGTTAACTGTTGATCTTTAGCTTTAGGTTTCAACCTTTTAGGATAAGGCATAGGAGGCACATAAACCCGTTTTGCAGTTTTTGTGGTATTTTCGGATCTGTCTTGGGACTGCCCAGAATCTGCAGAAATTGCATATTTAGTTTGGGGCTGTTCTATTGCCTGCGAATTTCCAGCAGAATTTTCATGTCCATTGTCGTAACTTATGCCGGACCACAAAGTCCGTATAGCATTGCATTCTTCTCGTCCTCTTGGATTAGGTACTGTTTGACTAGGAAATGTACCAGGTGCTATTTTTGAAACCTGCAACGCAATCTGCTCAATTTGTTTTTCCATATTTTTCATTGATGCATGCAAATTTTGGATTTCTTGACTGGTAGTATTGGCTAATTTTTCAATTGCTATCTCCCATGTAGCCTTAGGTGCAGCAAGTTGCTTATGAATATGTTGTAATGCCCTTCGGGTTGAAAAATGTTTGTGCTACTTACCAAAAGGCAATGAATGCTATTTTCCATGATTTGATCGGGCATAGCATGGAGATATACATTGATGACATTGTGGTGAAGTCTAAATCTGAATATCAGCATTTGGAAGACCTCATACAAGCTTGTTGAGAATTAGAACCCATAAGTTGAAGATGAATCCTAGAAAATGTGCCTTTGGGGTTAGATCAGGCATCTTTATAGGGTTCCTGGTCCATCAAAAAGGTGTAAAAGTGGACAAGAACAATGCTAGGGCTATAATGGAATCATTCCCCCCCCCAACTAACAAAGTGCAATTGCAAAGGCTGCTTGGGAAGATTAACTTTTTTAGGAGATTCATTGTTAGTCTGGCGGGCAAAATCCAACCGTTGAATTTTTTGTTAAGATTAAAGAGTCAAGAAAAATTTGAGTGGGGCCCTCAATACCAAGAGGCCTTTGATAAAATGAAGACTTGCCTAGCCTCTCCTCCAGTGCTCATGCCTCCCCAAAGGGGGAAGCCTTTAAAGTTCTACATCTCAACATCTGAGAAATCAATAGGGAGTTTATTGGCTCAGAATAATGAAGGGGGGAAAGAGCAGGCAATATATTACCTCAGTAGGATCCTCACCGAGGTAGAAATAAGATATACCCCAATTAAGAATCTATGTTTAGCCTTGTATTTCAATGCCAGCAAATTAAGACACTACATGTTGCCTTGCCATATTATATAATTGCTTAAACTGATATGATCAAGTACATTTTGTCCAAGCCAATGCTGATTGGAAGAATTAGGAAATGGATCTTAGCACTATCCAAGTTCAGTTTTTAGTATGTACCTCATAGGGCAGTAAAGGGACAAGTAATTGCAGACTTCCTAGCAAAGCACCAAGAATCCAAGGAGGAACTTGTCAACATCCCCAGAACTTTGGAAATGGCTAGCCTCTGGATCCCACCTAGTAAAGCTCATTTGGGCAATGAGGAATGGATTCAGCAAGAAGTAAAAAGAATAACTAACCTATGGATCACTCCCTGGAGGTTATATTTCAATGGATCTTGAACATAGCATGTTGCTGGAGCTGGACTTGTCATCATTGATCCAAATGGAATTCAGCATTGCTATTTATTCCTTCTGGATTACAAGGATACTACCGACAACAAGGCAGAATATGAGGCATTGATTATTGGCTTAGAGATTCTAATATACTTGGGGGCAGCTGAAGTAGAAGTGTATGGTGATTCTGAGTTGGTGATTAATCAATTAGATGGAGAGTACAAGTGCAGACATACCACAATGGCATGGTATTACTTGGCAGCTACTCAATTATTAGATTATTGGGGTAATGAAATAACAATTAACCATATTCCTAGATAAGCAAGTGTGACTGCCAATGAATTGGCACATAAGGCTTCTAGAGCACAGGTTCAAGAGAGATAACCTGAGATGAAGTAGAGATCCAAAGGAAAAGTCTTCCTTCTATCTTTGAGAAGGGATTTAACCTGGAGGCAATGACTAAAAAGCCTGAGATAGAGGACTAGAGAACATCTACCATCTAGTACTTGAAGAACCCTTATCTTCCCACTAGTAAGAAGATCAAACGACATGCAATTAAGTTTGTTATGTGGGATAAAACTTTGCTGAGAAAGACTCCATATGGACTTTTGTTAAAATGCTTATGTTTGGAAAAATCAACGAGGGTGATGACTAAGGTGCATAAAGGCATTTGTGGAGCACACCAAGCTGGGACAAAAATGTGATGGTTGCTGTGAAGATATGGTTACTTCTGGCCTGACATGGAGGAAGAGTGTAAAGCTTATGCTAAAGGATATGAAGAATGTCAAAGACATAGACCTCTCCAGCATACACCATCAGTGCCCTTGAATCCAGTAGTAAAGTCATAGCCTTTCAGAGGGTGGGCCATGGACTTTATCCGGTAAATATACCCAACTTCCAATAAGGGACACACCTTCATAATTGTGATGACTGACTACTTTACTAAATGGGTTGAGGCTTCAGTTGTGAGGACCATTAATTCAGCTACTGTGAAAAGGTTCATTAAGACCAAAATCCTACATATGTATGGGGTGCCTGAAACGATTGTTACATACAGAGGACCATCATTAATCTCAAAAGAAGTAGAAAAGTTAGTAGCCAAGTTTAAGATAAAGATGATCTAGTCTAGCCTTTATTATCCCCTATCTAATGGTCAAGCAGAAGTTAGCAACAAGATATTGGTGAACATCATTAAAAGAATAGTGGCAGATAGCCCAGAAAGGTGGCATGAGAAGTTGGGATATACTCTTTGGGCTTACAAAACCTTAAAAAGAGTAGGAACTAGGATCACTCCTTATGCATTGACATTTGGGCAAGATGCAGTGATCCCTATAAAGATCAATGTGAGCTATGTAAGGCTTCAGAACCAATTTAGTCTACATAGTGATGAGTTCATTTAGGCCATGTGTCAAGGAATTGAAGATTTGGATGTTGCCCGAATTGAAGCCCTAAACAAGATCCAGGAATGGAAAAAGGTTGTTGCCCGAGCCTACAACAAGAGGGTAAGGCTGAAGACTTTCAAAGAAGGAGAATTGGTATGGAAAACAGTTATACCCTTGGAAGCTCAAGTTTGAGGTTTTGGGTAGTGGATTCCTACTTGGGAAGGCCTGTTTACCATTACCAAAGTATTAGACATAGGGGGTATTTGTCACAGCCCGTCCCGGAATTTTAATTCCGATGACGTGAAAAGACGAAAATGCCCTTAAACGGGACTAAGGGGCGAAAATTTAACAATTGGTTTACTTAAAGTTCCTAAGTTATTTGGTGTTAGGAACTTAAACTAGGATTTAGGTTTACATTTCTACGTTTGATTTTGTGTTTGGGGTTCAGGTAGGGCCTCACACCCTAAATCCCTCCTCATTTCCCGTATACTGTCATTCTCTCTCTCTTTTCCTCAGACCTCACACTCTTTCTCTCACCCTCTCGAACACACGGGCAACCATCAAAACCACCCTAAATCTATACCAACGCCGGATTTAAAACTACCATTGCACTCCTGAGGACTCCACAATCACGTAGACACCAATTTCAGGTAAGTTTTACTTCGGAAAACCTAGATTCTAAACTCCCCGTAAAAGTGCACTGTTCATGCACACGTAAATCTTGATGTTTCAGGGAATTTCAAGCTCACAGTGAGCTTAAGGAGGTCACGAGGAGGCTCGGAGTGCCTCGTTTGAACAAAATGGACGTCGGGATCACTTGGTTCGAGTTTGGCCGAATTTTGGAATTATTGGAAAGGTATGATCTCGTTGTTTTTAGACCTTAAAACCATTCCAACGTGATAGTAGGTGTTTAGGGCTTCATTTTGGTATAAAGTACGAAAAAAAATGGACGAAAAACGAGTGAGAATAGTTAAATAGAAAATTTTCCCAGTTTTCCGGTGACCGGAGTCCGGCGAGAGTCCATCGGAGAAGAAGCAGGAATATTCCGTTAGTTCTAACGGAATATTCCTGACGCCGTTAACGGAACGGTTAGGTTTTAACGGAATATTCCGGGGTTTAACGGAATATTCCTGACGGCGTCAATTGACACCGTCAGTGTGCTTGGCACGTGGCCGCGCGTGGGGGCGCGTAGGTCCGTGCCACGTCAGGCGCGTGGGGGCGCGTGAGGACTCCAAAAATTATTTTAAAAATATGGGGATGATCCTGAGGTTGTGTAGGTCACGGTGGTATATTCATATACCCAATTTGAGCAATATATGAGGAGTTATTAGCTAAGAGTGGGATTATGCGTTAAATAACGTCAATTTGGTTACTTCTCGTATAGGCGAGGATTATACGGACATCGGGCATGGCCAAAGGATGCTCAGGGACCTACGAGACGTCGATGTAATCTGTGAGTGGGCAGTTTTGTTTTCCGTATATATATATAATTGACGCTTTCCCAGAAATTGAATTAGAATGAAATTATGTTTTAAATGAAAGGTATATAGAATGATATGAAAACGTGAATTGAAAGATCATGCATAGAAGTATATGAAATATATATGGAAATGTAAATTGAATTGCCATGCATGAAATGATATGAAAAGTATGATTTGAGATATATGATGCATATGAATGAATGGTGCGGCGGACGCACAGGTGAGTATCAGGTGAGTATTTAATTACTGTTATGATGATGTTGATGTATATTGAGCTCAAATCCTGCACCTTGGTTTAGTGCTTATAGTATTCACCACATCGCACGCTCGCCTTGGATCCAAGTAGATGCTGGTCGCACAGTCCACGCGGAGTGGGTGCGACGGGCCAGTCGAAGAGTGTTAGTGAGATTTCGACTGGTGGGTGACCTTAGATTATGTGCACAGATGATTAATGAGAGAAGCACTAGAGCGTAACCTATGTGCAGAAGGCCGTACAGGTCACAGAGGTGACTCCGGCAGAGTGATAGTGATAGATTTTGAGCTCTAGATTCAACCGTACAGGGCTATTAGAGGGCCTCCGGTTGATTTCTTTCTTGCACCTGATATGATTATTGTTGATGCATTCATACTTAACTGTTCAATTTAGACATGGCATGGCATAACTGATATGAAAATGTTGAGTTAATGAAAAAGTAAGTATTGAGAATATATATGTATATTTATATTTTACATTTCTGGGAAAGTATACAGGTTTTACGGAGAGGGGTTACAACGTTTTGAGAAATGTTTGGAATTGGAAAAGAATTGTTTTACTGACCCACTCAATTTTGGTTTTGCGCCCCTCCAGGTTCAGGAATCACAAAGGTGTGGTGACTACGAGGAATTCAGCGGGCTTCTGACAGATTGGACAAAATTAGGACTCACCTTCGGGTGTATCAAATTATAAATTGTATAATTAAAG